TCGTCGAAACGTTGCCAAGGTACTTTTAATTCTACGCGGGAGAAAACCCGAATAACTAAAGACCTACATACAAACACCCGCGAAAACCTCAGAAAACAAATATATATATATATATATATATATATATATATATATATATATATCAGTATTATCATTGATTCATCAAAAAAATAGCCATCCTTATTCAAATCCATGTTTATTTTCTATTATTTCTTTATTATTGTATTAATTAGAAGTTGCTACCCTGGCTGAGCCATAGCCATAGCAATAATATATGTCATCAATAACATATCAGGTTAAAGACAATGGTCAGCATCCTTTTCATACTGGTTCCTCAGTAACTCGTGAAGTCACAGGAGAAAAATGGAATAAAGTTCTAACACTATTGGAAGGCAGCAACACTGTTGGAAGGCAGCAGCTCTGTCCTTCTACTAATGCTGATATTATGCCATATTTCATTCATGCAGATGGCATGAAACATAAGAGTTTGCCTGACAACAGTGTGACAACAGTTTGCCCCTCTCTTCTTCTGATATATATTTGAAGAGTTCTTGGGGGAGGCGGGTGGGGGTGTCTTTCCAACGAGCTTGGGATTTCCTAGTGGTCTCCAATTCAAGTACTGACAGTTGCCCCCTCCTTAAGCTTTCCAAGATAAGACAAATGCAGCTATGTATCATTTGTCTGCTGAACACATAGGAATTTAAAATCCCTATTTGAAGTAAAAATATATCGACACTTTGAAACAAATATTCAACAGTTCATTAATACAACTATAAACATTTCAAAGGTGCTTCACTCTTTGTAGACAGATTACATACAGGGCAGGTAAAAGATACAAGAGTTCGAAGTAACTTGAACCTTCTGTTTTTCAATAGATGTCGTTTTGTCCTAAGAGAAAAATATGTATTTCTGAATTCTTTAATTTTCTAACATGGCAATACACACATGCTATATTAGATTTGCTATGCAGTATTTCTGCATAGTATGGAAAGGCACGAATTGTAAACTTCCACACCAGTGCAGATTTAACTATGTTCCTCTTCTCCTTTTACTACATGATATTTAATCCATGTAACAGGCTTCTAGTTATGGTCCTACAGCTGCATTGCAATGATCACATTATTTATTGTTACATTTCTTGCCTGGCTAGACTTTGACCAAAAGAGATCACCTAAAGGAATTACTTGATCCTCTCAGAAACAGGTGGTAGAAATTACAGTCAATCAAGTTAGGCCACTAAATGAAATTTCCTCATGGGCAACTTGCCCACTGGAGCTATATAACTTTGGAAGCTGAAAACAAACAGGCCCCTTTTTATATTGTTAGAGTTGCAGTAGGAGAACTGTCTGGTATGGCTCATATTATTTCTGGTATAGCTCATATTATTTTATGAATAGACACACTGATGGATGAGAACCTTCTCACATCTCCTGGTGTTCTATCTATCAATGCATTACAGTCTTTGCAAACCTTCCTATATCACTTTATATATTCTTCAGACTTGTTTGGTGTAGTAAAGGTAGTGTAGTTTTATCCCAGTTCAGCCTCTTTATATGTACAGTATGTGTTCAACTGGACACTTCTTGAATTATGCAGAAAATCTCTTTTTGTATTATTGTGAATTTCTGTGGATTCTGATTCTGAATTACCATGGAGTAATAATATTAATGATCCATCTTAAGCAAAATAGATAAGCCATGAGAGTTTTGTCTACTTAGAAGTAAGCCCTACTGAATTTAAAAGGGCTTAGTTCCTTTTAATCCTTTCTAAGCAGAGAAATTCTGAAGCAGCAGATTTTCCTTAAATCTCACTGTATACATAGTGTCTAACTAATCAGCTTGTTAACCAACTTACTTAAAATGGATTGAGTTTCAGATCACTATCACTATAAGAAGTTGGGAATGGTTTCTTAGCTTCCCACAATTGTTACTCTTTGCCTTCAGCCACAGGAATAAATATTTGCAAATGTGGTTCAAAAGGTGGAACCCAAATATATATACACAGGATTCTGCTCAGCAGAGTTCACAAAGGTAGTTGACTGGCTTTGAAGAAAATAGAACAGAGTTTTATTACAGCTGTTAAAATTCTGAAATGGATGAATGATGAAGCAGAATAATCTTCCTCTACTTAACTACCCTTCTATCTATTGTTCTCTTCTGGAGAAAACGTTTATTTCATTTCAGTTTGAGCTGTTCTTCAATTTGTAGCAGAAAACGTACATAAACTCCTCTCCACAAAAAGCAAAAGACCTTGACAAGAACAAGGTGTTTTTCTCCAGAATCTCTATTCTTATCTATTATATGCTGTTTTCCCAAGTATCCTTCTAAATTTACTCTATAACATGATTACTTGGCATTGCATGCATATACAGTATGAGCCTGTTTACATACATCCAGGGATAAAGAACAGATTTAGTCAACTGATTTCAAATAATATTTTTTTTCAGAATTGCATGGTAAATTGGCAGTGCTTGGTAGAAATTTATGCTTAAATTAAGTGAACATATTCTGAAACTCTCCTAAATTATTTTGAATTAAAAATAATATGTGTGCTTACAGTGTTCTCTTTTTCACTGGTATAAGAGTAACTTTTAACAACCAATAGATATAATTTAAAGTCTGGTTCAGACTCCCCTGGTCAAATTATCTTAATCTCTCTTCAGACTGTGACTGCAATAGCCTTCAGCTAGAGATTAAAGGCATCTATAATTTTTTTTCTCCCTATGTTAAGATGGAGAAGCAAATACAGTTCCCAGGCCACTTGCCCTAAGACAAGGAGACAAACTACTTCCCTTCTTTTTCTTTTTTCTGTCGCCTACAGTATTAGAGATTAGACTTTTCTCAATTCATGCCGTACCTGAAACTTCTTGTGTCACAATGCCCTTGTCAAAACAGCAGTGTACTTTTGAAACAAACTTTTTTTCTTCTTTGATGATCTGCTGGTGTGATCTACAAATTGGAGGTCTAAAATTATAATCATAACTTCACTCTTTTTCAAAAACTATTCTGGTGTAGCATTATACCTGCTCTTGAATTTCATTTTGTCATGCTCCAACCAAACTCAAACTCATTGGGTTCCTTATCGGAGAAAGCCTGATTTCTCTTTGAAGCATGAAAGGCTTCCAAAAGTAGAAAAAAAATCAGTTTCAGATATGGGCAATAATTGCCCCATGCACAGTAATCTTTCAAGATTCCAGTTGTGTTAGGGGCACTAACTCATCTATCATCATGGCTGGATCAAACCGTCTTAACTTGCTCATTGTTAGATTTTTATTTGGTCTATGCCTGCGTTTTGAATTGGCCAAATGCAGGGTGTTACTAATTTTCCCCAATTTTTATTTTTTCCATTTATTGGCTTTATTGCCAGGAATAAATACTAAAATAATATGTATTATTTTATTGAGATTGTTGCATTCACCTTTCCCGTTTTTTAAGTATATTGGGCACCAAAAGTTTTAGTTAGGACTACGAGATAAATCATTTAAATCTGTTACATGGGAGATGATTTACACTGTACATCGGGGGTGTCAAATTGCCGGCCTATGGGCTGGTTGCATCATACGGAGGCCACACACACCCCAGCTCCAGCAATGCAAAAAAAGTCACGATACGTCGCAACACCTCACGTGATGCGGCGAGTTTGACACCCGTGCTGTACATGCTTATATTCTGTGTATTTGGAACTCTTCTGTGTGTGATGTGAAATATTTCCTGTAAGAATTCTAGTAATTATAATTAACATTTGAAGGACACCAAGTTGAGGAATGCTTGTAGACTGCAATGTTAACCACAATAGCACAGATATTTTTACAGTTTCTCATAGGGTTGAATTATAATAGATTTTCAACTGTTATTTCATATGTATTGGAAACCTGTGGAACTTTTAAAGAAACAATTGATGCTCTGTTGGAGATGTGCTGCTCAAAATGCATCATTGGTTCAACATAATGTCCAGATTCTCTTACTAAAAAGTAGTCTTTTTTGACTCAAGCTTTTTTTTTCTTAGCAGCTTCATGGGCAGATCCATGGGGGGGGCATGAGAGAAAAAAAACTGGTTTCCACTACTTTTTCAGGGATATTTTTTCATGTTGCAAGTTTAATCTATATTCTTGGTACTTCTTGGTAGTCTGCCATGAAAGTCACTAGGTCTGGTCTTGCCCCTTTTTTCAAAGATCAGACAAGGCTGGTCAGCTGCTGACTAGAAGTTAATTTATATATTAACTTGATTCTGAAATATTCTTTTTTCATGCTTAGCATTTAAATTATATATGAATGGTTGAAAAACTAGGAGGAGTAGAATGGAAATACACATCACATATTTTTAGAGTTGCAAAAACTTGCATACTGCAACATTGGAAGGAAGCTCAGTGTCTACTAATTATACAATAGTCAGAAGAAGTCACTTTTCTAAATCTGAGTGGCAAGTATTTTACTACTAAGAGTCCATCTGGAGAACTACTTAGAAAATTGAGCTATATGTATATTTCCCTTCCCCATTTTTAAGTAAGTTCACTTAAATGTTAATGATTTTATCTTATAACATTATGTGAATATATATGTAAAATGAGCTTGGTTTAATAAATAAGAACTACATGATTTGTAACTTTGATTTTTTTTTCTTTTGCATAGAATAAACAGGAGATAAAAAGCTACCATTTCTTGATTTCCTGGATATTTCAAAGAAATTCAGAGATTGAGTGAAATGGAATTTTAATCTCACCAATAGTGTTATGAAATGAACAATCATCTTGCAAACAAAAGTTATCTGCAATGGTTCCTTGCTCTCAATTATCCTTTAAATAAAGGTTTCATATGAGGTTTTCCACTCCTTTGTTGTCGTACTACCTGCATTTTCTAAGAGAGAAATGTCATGTTACAATGATTATATGCAAGTGCTTGTAGATTTGTCATGTTATATTGAATTATTGGTAGGAATGGGTATAATACAACAGTATTAAAGGTTTGTCCATTGATAACACTTTACAACTTAACATTGTTTAGGTTCTCAGAGACGGAGACTCATTCCAGCTTTGTCACTTGACACTACATCTCCTATAAGGAAGCCTACCAGCCCAGCCATACGATGGGTAGATGGACCCCTGCGAAGTGCCCAGAGAGGGATGGGGGAGCCCTTTGAAATCAAAGTCTATGAAATTGATGATGTGGAACGGCTCCAGCGACGGCGCATGGGGGATAACAATGTGAGGCCATCCTAATATTTTTTTTAACAAGCACAGATATTGCTGTATTTTTATTTGTAGATGCTTTCAGCTACATTTGCAAATCACTCTTTAAAATACATCCAGTAAAGTAGGCATGATCCCTGCCTAAATTCAAATAGAACCCACAAGACTCAATAAAAACAATTCCTAAAAGAGATTTGGGGATTCTGCTAAGAACGATGATGTTTTGCTGTACATGAAGCTTTCTGGAAGCGGTGTTGATACTTATTTGTATTTATGTAACCTTTGCAGTCAAATCCAGTCAGAAAATACCAAAGATCACTCTTGTAAGAAACATTTTAAAAAAAATAAAGGTAGTATGCTGCAAGAAATAATGACTTGACTTTGCCTCAGCAACTATACAGGTAGCTGTCAACTTATGATCATGATTGGAACTGGAACTTCTGTCACTAAGTGATGTGATTGTTGTATTTATGACTTTTTTGTTGCAGTAGTTAAGTGAATCCAGCTTCCCCTATTGATTTTGCTTGTCGGAAGCCCATTGCATAGGTCACAAATGGCAATCACAAGACTTCAGACACCACAACCATTTTAAATACATGCCGATTGCCAAGAGCCCAAATTTTGATCATGTGACCATGGGGATGTTGCAGTGAGGACCAGTCATAAGTTACTTTTTTCAAGGCCATCATAACTTTGAACAGTTGGTAAATGAATGCTCATAAGTCAAGGACTACCTGTACTCACACCCCCATTTGATCCACAAGTACATTTTCACTTCTATACACACAAAGAAACAATGTCCACAGAATCAGATTTATATTCATCAGAATAAGAATGATGGATACACGGAGTTGCTGTCTTCAGTGAAAGTCTTGCTAGGGAAGAGAGCTTTGTGTCTGCGTTGGAGGAAACCCTGGTTCAAAAGCTTTCAGTATACCATCTCTTTTAGACTAGATATGTCCCTGAAGAATGCCAACTATGTAATGGAAATTGAAGGATAAAGGTTTTGTTTTCTAATTCTTAAAACCAAAGATTGCAATACACCTATAAAATTTCAAAATCTATAGCTGATGGTATGGTGACAAATCCATAGTCCTGATCACTTGTCAAAAATAATGAATGGAGGGCAATTATTTATGGTGAATAGTCCGGAAAGACTGTTCTTTGCTCTAGTGACTCACTCCTAGTTTCAGATCCATTCAGGTCTAAATTGAGTCTTTTCCCCAGTAATTTTCTCTTACAAATGCCCCCTCCCAGGAACCATGGGAGTGAGAATAATACATTTCATCTTAACTTCTGCTTTCACTCTTAGAATTGTAACCTTGATAATGAGCCTTCTTCTTTCCAGAAATGTAATTGTTTTAGGATGTGAAATAAAAATGAGAATAAAATAAAATAAAAATAAATTTAAAAAATTGTTTCCATTTGGGAGGAAATTTAGATTTAATATGGTATCAGCTTACAATAACATTATTACTCACCATCCCTTAAATGTCCAAGGTTTATTTGTGTAACTGTTTCTCCATTATTTAACTTAATTGTGTTTCTGATTCCTACCAAAAGAGAAATAATTGTACTGGAGAAATGTTTTTGTCTCATTTTTATCCTTTCCTTTTTTTTCTTTCTTCTCATATGTCTTACTGGGTAGGAGGTGATTTGCTACAATGCTAAGCTAAAAATCCTGGAGCATCGGCAGCAGCGAATTGCAGAGGTCAAGGCCAAATATGAGTGGTTAATGAGAGAGCTGGAAGTGACCAAACAGTATCTGATGCTGGATCCCAATAAATGGCTCAGTGAATGTAAGGTTTTATGCCTCCTCTGTTAAATTCATTGCCAAGAAATTTTACTGGAATTTCAGCTTAGCCGCCACTCTTTAAAAGCAAGTAAAATTTCAGTCTTGAAATTACATTTGACCTCAAGCAGGTTTGGATTGTCTGTGATTTTGTTACGGTTCCCACATAATTTCCATTAAACTGTGACATTGGAAGCAAGTGGGCATATTTGTTCAAAAGCTGAATCAGAGGAGTGAGAAATATTGCCATCACCAGATTAACGCATAGGTGTCTCACTCCACAGCTTCTGAAAATGAGATTTCTTTTCCTCTTCTGCCCTCAGTTCACTCAGACATGCAAGTTATATAATACATCTGCTCTCCCACTGTTAAATAATACTATAAGGCAAATTTGACCATTGCTCAAAATGTCTTATTAATCAAAAATTAATCTGATTCTTTATATATAGTCAGAAAAGAATAGAGACCATAGAGTTGGAAATGGCCACTTCAGCTATTGAGTCCACTTCAGCTATTGAGTTATTTAGCATAGGAAACTGAATGTTAGCATTCTTGACAGAGAAATATCTTACCTCTGCGTGAATGTAACTATGAAAGGGAAACCTGGAACCTTTTCAAGTAATTGATTCCACTCTAAACTTCTTTTATTTGTTAGATTTTTTTTTTTAAAAAAAACATTGAGTGGAATTTGCCTTCCAGTAATTTAAATCCATTTATTTATGTTCTACATCCGTGGTGGCGAATCCTATGGCACGTGTGCTACAGGTGGCACGCAAAGCCCTCTCTATGGGCACGCGCGCCGTCGCCCCATTCCTAGGCCTTCAGCTGGGTTTTACAAAACCTTTTCGCTTTAGGTCTCTACTGCCATGTGCAAAAAAAAAAAAAAGATTCAATCAATCAATCATTTTCAACTTCTTGCGGGGAAAAAAAAGATCTTGCAAAGTTGGAATTGATTGATTGAACTTTTTAGTCCCACCCAGTCTGCCGTTACCACCGCAGCCACGCCCACCCAATGGGCCACGCTCACCCAATGGGCCACACCCACCCAATGGGCCACACTCACCCAATGAGCCACGCCCACCCGGCACCTGACGATACATAAGTGGGTTTTGGGTTGCAGTTTGGGCACTCAGTCTCTAAAAGGTTCGCCATTACTGTTCTACATTCTGGAATAAGTGTGCCATTATACTGAGCATTTTCAATCTTCATAGAACATACTTTCTAGTCCCCTTATCATCCTCACAGTCTTTTTAGAAGTTTTTCCAGTTTTCCAAAATCTCTTCTGAAGTGTAGTAACTAGAATTAGGCATAGTACTTCAAGTGGGGTGAATTGAAGCAAAATAAAGAGGAACTATTACGTTTTAAACTTAACAAAAAATAAAATAAAATTTTCCTAAAGTTTGAAAACTACATCCATTGATGTAGTCACTAAGTCATGTGTGACTCTTCATGACCTCATGGACCATAGAATGCCAGCCCCCCCCCCCCGGCTTCCACTATATCCCAAATTAATGTTCATTGTGTCAATGACATTATCTAATCAATCCTAAAATTACATTTGGTTTTTTTGCATCCAGAACTCACCATTAACTAATATTCAGTTGATAATCAGCTATTATTCCAAGATATTTTTCACAAATATTACAAAGGGGATGGGTGGTATGATGATGATTTTGGCATCACCCAACTCCCAGGCTCTGAACACTTCACAATATAGGAAATAAAGCAAAGCAGCATAGCAAATATAACAATATAGCAAAGCAGGATAAAAATAAAACAGCAAAATACAAATGAATGCACAAGATGGAAATCCAGCCACTCATGAGAAAACCATATTCAAAATCCATCCACAAGGCACTCCAGTCACTTTCCAGAATGCCAACAGGATGGGAGCTACCCTGATCTTGCGGGGACCTCATTCCAGAGGACATGTTCCAGAAGGAGAAGGCATGTTTCCTGGGTCCCAAAATATGACACTGTTTAATAAAATGGACCTTGGAGCATACCAACACTGTTGGCCCACATTGACTAGGCAAAAGCAATAGGAAGTAGGCAGTCCCTCAAATAACCTGTCCCTAGCCACATAGGACTTTATAGGAAATAACCAGAACTGTGAATCATACCTAGAATTATACTGGCAAACTGTGTAGCTCAGTCCCTGCACTTTGGACCATTGAAAACTTTCAAGTGATTTTCAAGAGTAGCTCCATGTGCAGCACATTACAATGGTTGAGCTGTGAGATGACTAGGGCATGAATGATTGTCTGCAGTCATTCAACCAGTACTTATTTATTTTTTATATATTTATTTTTATCCCACCTGTATTATTATTTTATAAGTAATCCAAGGCAGCAAACATACCTAATATTCCCTCCTCTATTTTGTCCACACTAACAACCCCGGAAGACTGATAGACAGTGACTGGTCCAAAGTCACCAAGCTAACTTTCATGCCTAAAGAGGAGTTAAAACTCACAGCCTTCTGGTTTCTAGTCTTGTTCCTTAACCATTAGATCTTTTGTTTCCCAAGTGAAGAACTTTGCATTTGACACAATTAAATTGCATTTGATTACCCTCAGCTCAGGTCATTAGCCCCTCAAGATCATTTTTTAATTTTATTTCTGTCTTCTAAAATTATTAGCAAATCTGTTCAGTTTTATATCATCCACAAATTTGATAGCTTTCCATTTGCCTCTTAATCCATTAATACAATTGTTGACAATTAGGGAGCTCAGAACTAAACTTTGTGGCACCTCACTTAATTCTTCACTCTCATTTAATAAGGAATCATTCATCAATCTAGCTATTTTGTGAACAATAGAAAGCAGTGCTGTATCTGCTGCCTTATGCTTCCAGATAAAATGTAATATACAGATTTAATATTTACAGTACAGATGAAAAGAAAACATGAATATAATAACTGTTGTTTTGAATGTATTGCTTCTTTGAATCTTATACACATTGTGCCCTTGACTACAAATATCACTTTCTATTTTTTAACTTCCACAATTTTTCTACCCCACAAACTGAGGATAACAGTTTTGATAGCCTTCTTCAGCCTGTTTTCTTCCACATGTATTCAATTTCAAGTGCCGTTTAGAGGAAACCAGGTTAGAGATGAGTGACTGAAAACATCTGGTGATGGCAATGCTACTGCGTGAACGCTGATTCTAAGTAAACAGCCTGAAAAGGCCATATATATTTTTCTTTTTTTATGGAATGATTTTACTTTACTAGGTGTAGCTGTTTTCAACCCAGCCAGTGAAAATTAGAAAAACAAGTGATAATTCAGTGGTTTTCAAAGTTGCCTTATGCAAATAGTAACATTAATTTTTGCTATTTTTGTATACCTTTTTAATAGTAGCACTGAATAGATTCTTATACTCATGAATGTTGAGTACATTCATTGAATGTTGACTATTGTAGATCCGTATATGAATATAAATCATTCAGATTGCAAGATAGAGCTTGCATTTCCCTCTCTGACAGTAATTGGGTTAGTCTTGTTTCTCTACCAGTTTTTATTTCCTTCCTTACAGTTGATCTGGAACATGTTTTTGATTCGGATTCCCTGGAGTATTTGGAGGCTCTTGAATGTGTGACTGAGCGGTTAGAGAATCGGGTCAATTATTGCAAGGCCCACCTCATGATGATCACCTGCTTTGACATCTCTTCCAGACGTCGATGAAGAATTAACCTCAATAATCTTTTGGACTACTGCCAGACATCCCTTTCCTTCTTTTTGAACTTATATCCCAAAGACCCAGAATGAGGATGAAGGTTGGTGTCATGTTTTGACTATGTGTGAGAAGATGGATTTTTTTTTAATTATGCCGAATATATGTTGGAAATCAAAGACACTGAAAATAAGGATGTGGATTCTTCAAGCCTGAAAGAGCACTTTGAGAAATCTTAAAGACATGTTTGTACATAGGAACCGCTGCAGAAGTGATTTACCCCCACCCCGCAGCCCATCAATAACTGAAGAGGGAGGAAGAAGCAGGTGTAGGGAGCTGTTGAGAGCCCCACTATAGTAAAAATACATGGGAAAACTGTCTGAAGTGCCTTGCAAATCTTTATTATCCAAACATTTATGTTCATACTTCTTGTACAGATGGTGCTAGTCGACAAAAAGAAAAAGACAAAAAAATCAAATCACATTTTTCGAAATGTATTTACAGCTTGTTATTTTCACTTGGTGTTTTATTCTATTTCTGACTTGCTGTTTCTACGTAACTTGTGTTTGTAGAGATATTTCTTATCTGATACAGCATATAAATAAATGTTAACTGTCTTTTGTTGTTCAAGAGCAGAGTAAGACCACTCAAAGAAAAAAAAGAAGTTGAAACTTCCAGATTAATCCCACAGATGTATGATGTAATAGAGGAAAGTAGGTTTCCCAGCTCTTAGTAAAAACAAAAATGTGGATTTTCTTACATGATAAGATTTCAGTTGACACTAAAAAAATGGGGTATCACATGGTTTTGTAATATGTTCTCCTTTGAGGTACTGAAATAAATACATTGTTATGCGTATTCAGTCAACACTCCTATTTTATTACTGTTTAACTGAATATACAGTACTAACCTTTGCTAGCATTACAATCATAGAGTCATCAGAGTTGGATTGGGAGGACTTAAGGAAGATAATCTAGTCAAAGTATTTCCTCAGTACAAGTTGAGATAACTTGTGACTCCACTCATCTTTATGAGCACAAGAATTTAATTGGTAAATCTGTTTAGCCAGCTCAGAAACCTTTACATGCTTACAAGTATTATCATAATCTCCTAATGTTTTCCCCCAACTTTACAGGCACCTAATTTGTTCTCAGTTAGCAATGGTCCCAATAACAGAACACTTTTGCTGAATAGGAAAAAAAAAAAAAGGGGGGGGGAAACCTTGTAAAGTTGTTACTCAAAGGAATCTTTATAATTCTAGTTTTTGTCTAATCAGATAAAAATATTAATAAACTGCAAGCATTCATAACCTTTCCATAGAAAGGCTAAAACTATTTGCATTAGAATTAAAATGATTGATTCTGTGCTCCCCATAACTCTACCTATCTGTGTGCTGATCTTTGCTTACCCATACAACAGAAATGATGAATTGGTTAAAGTTATTTATCCAGCTGAGTCAGAATACAAAAATATATTCAGAACTGTATTATGAAAAGTAAAATACAGAATGAAGCTGGATAAAGTTACAGTTATCTAGTTAAATTACAACTCTCATTTTAGTTTGTTTCATTGTTATCTCTAAGTCAACTAATTCGATTTAGTATGTTTTTTTCTTTTTTGTATTGTTTTTATTAAGGTTAAAGACCATTTGACTGATAGCCCAGACCTACATATAGTTAGAAAACACTTCATGTTATGCATCTTGATATGTGCTACATTCACAAATAGAGTAAAATATGTACAAAAAGGTTAATTACAAATGAATTAAAAGTCAAGAACAAAAGTACTTGGTCAACATTAATGTAGGTTATATAAATTGCCACAGTACAATACAGAGTGTTCTTGCCTTGCTATCCTGCTTGTAGGCTTCCTGGAGACCTCTGATTGGGCAGCAGGAGAAATAGCAGGCTAGACAAGTAGAGCTTTGATCTCATCTGATAGGGTTCTTCTTATGTTTAGAAGCATAAAATTGGCACACACCATGGCTTCAACCCATAGTCCTTAGAAAGAAAATATGAATTTTTCTTGGCAGCAAAAGGGGATTGTAACGAAAACACTCCTTAGCCTGATCTCTTTCTCTCTTTTTCTAAATCTGGGAGATTCTACTTTTTAAAATAAAGGAAACCAGTGTTTGGGGAATTGTTTACCCAATTCCTGGCATGCTGGATTCTCCATTTATTTAGGAATATGGCTAGAAAAGATTGCTTCTGACATGTGAAGTCCTATCTGGATCAGAGCATTTCACCTCATGGTTAAGTAGCATCAGTTGACTGCATATCCATGCAAAAGTAATACATTTCACTATACTTTTCATAGGCTAAAATTCAAATATAGATGCCTCATCACCCTTGCTATTACTACAATATAACGAGAACTCAGATTTTCTTTCTTCTATTTTTAAATAAATTAATGTTAGGAATAAAATGAAAGTTCTCGAAGTATTAAATGATGAGATCACAATTTACTGTTTTCTGCTTTATTAAAAGTTAATAACATATTGCCTATGGACAGATTGATTTGCTCATACATAAAACTGTGTACGGTATGTATGCAGTTGCCTAAATTAAAAGGAAAAATGGTTATATATGTGAAGACCAACCCTATACTCTAAATAAACTAGAACCTTGCAGGATAAAACTGAACAGTGGAATCCTAACCAATTTCACTCCGAATTAAAGTCCAATTTATTCAATTGGGCTTTCAAGTAAGCTTGGATAGGCATTTGTACCACTGTTGAATAATTTGGTTTTGAGTGATATTATGAATACCCAAATGATATATTGTAAAGAAATTTTACTGGTCTTTAATAAGCCTACCAAATTTAATTAAGTATCTGTAAAGATTTTATAGAAAAAAGGAAATTGCTGTTTAAGAGGGTTCATGCTTTAATTTGCACATGCCTTTGGCTTTATTCCTAATGTTCTGCATGGCCATCTCTCTAAGGAGCAGAATGGTTCTCAGAGAAGTTGGAAGAAGAGAGTAAGATTATTAAATGCAGAAAGATGGAAATAATTTGGAAAGCCCTCAGTGGAGGAAGAGTTGGCAAAGAGGGCAAAATTTTAGGAGATGATGACTTGTTTGATAAGGGAACACACACGCTTTTCTTAATGACTGGAATCCCCTTATGGACCTTTTGCTAAAAACTGAAAAAAATGAACTTTTGATTTATGGGTGTGATCATTGGAAATGGTAGAATATGAAAAGAATGGTCAGAAGTCACTTTTTTCTAGTGGTATTGTAACTTCAAACGGTCACTAAGCGAACTGTTGTAAGTCAAGGACTGCCTGTATATCTTTTTCTTTTTCTCTATCTTGCTTGTTTTGTACTTTTTCATTACTTTCCTATTTTCTTATCATTTTTTCTTTACTTTATTTTTTCTTTCAAATATGTATTATTTTTGCAAAATTAAAACTTCTTTAATAAATTAATCCAAAAAAGAAAAAAAAGGGGGAGGAGTCAAAAGAAGAGCAGCTAGGTAATTAATAATGGCTGTGTGCAATGTTGTTTTCACAGCATTATTTGCATACATACCTCCTTCCACCACTGTGCCCAATGAACAAATCTCCAAAAGTAGAGTTTTAATTCTTTGAGGATCACATGCACCAATTAATCTGAAATACTATTGTCCTATTTGATCACAAAATCTTTTTATAAAATGTTAAAATCCTCTCCCTGAACCTACTGGGAATAGCAAATAGCTGCACAGAATGTCTTCTAGAGACTACCCCCCCACACAAGAAACTGCTGATTTTTATAATTTGCTCTGGACTTCACTGTCCACATTGTATTTCTACTTGACTACTACTTCTATTGTCCACATTTCTACTCATACAAGATTTCAGTTATCCATATTTTCCTGATGTAGAAGAACAAGTTAGTTCCTGACTTAATGGTAAAAGAGTGTGATAAACATCTGGTTAAATTTATATTTAATCCAGGCTTAGGGTTTGAATAGCTCCTTCATTGGCTATCAATTAATAATTCGGGGAAATGCTGGAAAAAGCATATATAATGTCTGTGTTCATGTTTTCAGATAATTGAATTATTTTTCTTTGAAATCTTGCCTTTACTTTTGCATTCTTTTCAAGTTTCTTTAAATTTCCAGAAAAATAAATAAAAAGCAGATGGATTGTTAGTACAAAATGAAACAAAACAGTTGCAAGGCTACTCCGCATTCACAATAGTTAAGTTTGGTTGTCATTTAGTGTGGAGGTTAATCTATAATACAATTTGTGTTGTCTCTGTAGTGTGATTTAATGAATTAGGACCTACAAAAGTGACTTGACTATACATCCACAAGTATGCTACAATATGAATCTTACAGTTAAACTAAACATAAGAGATGTACAGTTTGGGTACTTTTTAAAAAAGCTATAACTCTTCATCTCTTCAATCTATTTTCGGGCTGTGATGCTGGGAGAGGCAGAATTTAATTCTTCCAAATCTGAATTGTTCCCCCTATGACCTATTTTCTCCTGGAGGTAAAATACTCCTAAGTGGCAGTTTGATGAGGAAGAGTGAAAATACTGATCCACATGAGGCTCAGAAACAAAAGTATACATTAGCACAGTTTTTCTTACTTGCTGTGCATTCTAGCCAACTTTTATATTTTCCTGAATTGTATTTCCAAGCTATATCATGGGAAAACAGATATGATGCTGTACCTAATAAATAACCTGTATGTATGTGTAAAAATAACTAGACAGTCAAAAATAACAAAGTGTATTCATGCATTTGAGTTGGCACAGTTATTCACAAGCATTAGAACTTAACTAGCAAAGCTCGTCACAAACCCCAGGAGTAAAACATTTTATCTGAATAAGCTGGCTATTTATGCTGCATTTTATAGAAACCATACTTAAAAACATGTTTATGCTTCAGATTACAAAGTCAAGGTAGTGTATTTGTTTTACATCATGTTTCAGATAAGGTAGCAGCCATAAATTGATAAGAAAATAATTTGAGTATCACTAAGTTAACATCTCATTCATTCTAGGCCTCCAATTTTAATGGATGGTCACGTATATAAAAACTTTTGGGATCAAAACAAAATATGAATCCAGGGGTTTTATAATCCATCTTCTTATCTCCTGCCCCACTATTAGCCTATGTGAGGATAAGACTGTAACATTACAGATGCCTTGCCATTAATATGTGAAAACACAATGCCTGCATTGTGTGTATCATTTCTGATGGAACTGGAAATATAACTGTCCTAGCCAAAATGTAAACCATTAGACAAATAGACGAGATAGCAATTCATTACTACACAAAAAGTCCCAATTTACCTGTTTACTTCACATGGCATTCTATAATTCAAAAACATTCTGTCTGGTATTTGACTCATATAAGGATTTCTGAATATTAATTGGTCCATCATAGTGAGTAACCCAATTCCATGTTCAACATATGCTTAACATTTATGCAATTCCTATTCTGTGTGTCTTTTCTTTTTATCAGATTATCATACTCTCAATGGTTTGAGTGATCATTCTAAATTATTTTCAGGAGATTTTTTTCCATCACAAATCAGTTGTCTCAAATGAAGTAAGCATTTGTTGTAAGTGTCTCAAAGGATGTTGCTGTCCAGAATCAATATTACTGGGAAATGGTAATTCATTTGCATATTTTATACATCATCTGTTGGAAATTATATTCAAATTTGGTTTTCAGTTTGATCAAAGTTAGATATAGTGCAAAAAAATTGTTGAGTTAGACTCTAAAAGCAATGATAGATCAGAGTAAAGCTCTGTTCTACTGTTGTAATAACACCACAAGGACATGAAGGAAATATTCATTAATAGGGATGATAATGTAGATGCGTGAAAACTAATCATTGATAAGTTTGTCCTCCAAGAATTTATCCAACCATCCAAGTTAGTATCACCAGCACTAAATTCCAGAATTGAAGGACTCACTATACGAAGTAATAATTCCTTAGTCCTGAAGGGTTTTTTTTAAAAAAAATACAATATTTTCAGATGAAACTCTGATACTCATTTAAATTAACCTTTCAAGTTCCCTTAAGGGAAGATAAATGTATTCTATAAAACTTTGAGTGGTCCTACTCATAGAGCATTTATTATAAAATGATGGTAATAAAAATGGTGCTTAAAAGCAGTTTCAGCAATATCTATATTACATATACTCTCTATATGGACTTAGTTACCTTATATATTGTATAAT